CACGCTTCCGAAATGTTGAAGAAGTGCGAGAATGGGTGGACGAATGGATTGCTTCGAAACAAACATCGTTTTATCGAGATGGTATCGCCCAGTTGCCAGAAAGATGGCAAAAAGTTGTAGAAAGTGATGGAAAATACTTTCATTGAAATAATTTAAATAAATTTTTTACAATAAATGCTTTTTCTCAGTATTTTTTGGGCGGAAACTAAGTTAAGGTCCTAATACAATATGAGCTACCATCTGACTTCGCGTTCTCTAGAATTTCTGCGCATATGTGTACGTTATTATGTATGTATATCAACCAGTTTTGCTTTTATTGGCCGGACGATTTAACCAATTTTACCTTCATTGCTTGAAGTATCATTTTCGAAATGCGTACATAATGCAATACGATAATCATCGTGTCATTCTAAAGAATGCATCGTGTTATTCTAGAGGAGAAAGTGTACTAGACCTTGAACCCTTTGGAACTTTTGATAAAGAATGCATAAATTACATCGTGCTAAATTTCAGCAAAATCGACAGGTGGTCCATTTTACATAAGGTTGTGTGCGTGGTCCTTTCATTTTATTAGAATCTCTTTACTTTTATATTTCTAGTTCATTGTAAGCTACAAATAATTCTAGAGCAGAACTAATAAAGATAGTAAAATCATCTTTACTTTAAAAATGAATGATAGAAGATACATTTCATTACATTTGAGTAACTGCAATTTCTAATTGTAATATATAATGCGAACGTCGCGAATGATTCATGAAACCAATTAGGTTCCTTCATTTGTCGCTAAAATATGGATTATTCATTTTAAGAGTCTTTCAGAAATGATCTAATTGCATGTTGAATAATGTACTGAAATATTGCATCAATTTACGCGCATGTAGCTCGTTTAAATGCGTTTTCATTTAAAATTCAAATGCTATGAATTTTTAGCTTTGACCCGATTTAACCCTTAATCTTATTTGATAATCGTTATCATATATTTACATGTACACACATAATGTTATCACACAATAAAAGCTTGTCAAGAAGTAAAAAAAAAAAGATACTTTGAAAGTTGCAGAAGATAGCCAAGTAGAGTGGCTTAGATCATAGTATTTAACAGCATTTCCTACTTTTTCCTCACGATTATGGCCACGACATGGAACTCGTGGCACGCGTCTCTATCCCTTCTCACGTCTAATCCCTAAGAGAACGCATTCCCATCCCTCCCTCCGTTCGACATCACTCTATATATCTAAGGACATCCAGCTGAATACCAGAGGAACACCATGCCATACATTCTGATGGAAAGGAAATGATCGCCAAACATTTCGTAATCCCTTCATCGCACGTTATGTTTAGTTTTGAACTAATATGCATATTATATCTATTTTATAATTGTCGTAAAATAAAAGAAAATACCCGGGAAAAAGTTCAGATAAAAGCCAGATATGGATTTTGTCAAGATCTGATCAGATATAATCAGATATAATTCAGATATGATTAAGATGTGTCCATATATAATCATATATACAATTATATATGATTATATATGGACAGATCTGATTCATATCTGAATTATATCTGATTATATCTGATCAGATCTTGACAAAATCCATATCTGGCTTTTATCTGAACTTTTTTTTCCTGGGTATATTATATTCGAGGCAGTATTGTTGACAAGAAAATTATTGAGTGTAAGTAAAAGTAACATAGTCAAAAAATCAAATTCAATAACTTAAAATTTTGCAACTTTTAGAAGATACAAAAATGGAATTATATTGAATTAATACAATTATAACTTAAAAAGTTCTTCAACAGTACGGTTATAAAAAAGAAAAGAAATTTGAAACTACAAGGGTGTTCCCAAAAAATTCGATTCCTTTAAACAATATAATTTTTGCTTCAAATATTTTTTTGTAAATTTCCTTTCCAAAATATTAGACAGTTCTGGAATTTTTCGAACACATACTCTGTATATATCTTTTGTTGTATCTATATATTTATACCATAGAGTTGAACATTTTAATTTTATTATTTTTGTCGGCGTTATGTATAAATTGCTATAGTTTTGTTCTCTCTCAATTTTGCAAGAGTTTCAGCACAAAGATTGTTGAAAACGATCAAGTCATCTCTCCCGTACAGCACAAATGTCCGAAATACATCTCAGAGATATTACATTGTTTCTGGAATGTATTTCAGACATTTGGTGCTGTATGGGTCTCTGACCTTAGGCTTTAACATACAAAAATTCAGTGTACGCTTCGCGCAATGAAAAATCATTTGACATTATCTCAAATAATGATTTGATTGATACTCATAATAAACACGACAATAAATCATATTAAGTAACGAATATAACCTCACATGATGGCAGCAATAACAGCCTCCACGATGTTCTTCACGATGTTTTTCCATTTCTTTATTCTAGCATAAGTTTCTCGTTCTAGCTCGATATCTGAATATGCACAATAAAATTGTCGTTAAAAATGAGACGAAAATAACCAAACGTTCTTACAAACAATCTATTGTATATTAATTTGAAATCAGCACGCACAATATACCTGACCTTATACGTGACTTTCTACAAAAAAGATTCGGTAAAGAATACGAGGAAATACATTTGGTATAACGTAGAATACCCGTCACTATTACTTTATTATGTTGTTCCAAGTTCCTTGGAACTTGGAACTCGAGTCACAAAATCCTTCGTCGCCGTTAGTTGACCATACACTACTGAGACGTCATCTCTCGGTTACCTTACTGTATTAACTTTCGAACCGTCACCGTTAGGAGCACCGTCGATAGGTGCTTTGGGCTGTGTTTCAAAATTTACTGCCAGCACTGAGAAGCTATAGTTTATGTTACATATATTATAGATTTTCAGCGTAGAAAGTATTAGTATTTATTAAAAAATATTAAAAAATATTACGAAAAGGTACGATATCTTCTTATTCACTTATTTAGGCACTATGACTTTATTTTTCTTTCTCACTCTCTGTCATTCTGCTAATCCCTTAATTTCATGATTAATTTGCTGCATTATTTCAATACTCTTCTATAACTTTCATATTTCTTTTCTTTCACTTCTTTACACATTCTCTTTCTTGTTATCTTAATTTTTTACTGTCTTATCCTTTTATTGATTCTCCTTTTATTCATGTCTCTTCCTGTCTCTCCCTGTCTCTCCCAGTCTCTCCCTGTTCCTGGTAAAAAAAGTTTATAGAGAACAATAGAATAAAATAATCATTTTCTATCGTTTTGAATATGGATTTTGGTCCGTGAATTTACAAAATGTGAATAGTATTCTATCGTATACAATAGAATACAATAGATAGTGATAGAATTTCTTTTACGAATGTATTTTTAAAAGTTTGAAATACATAAATAATTTAAAATTACCTGTTAAAATTATCTGTTTTTTTATATATGTTATATCAAAATTTAACTTTTTAATTGAATATTAATATAATTATTAATTAACTGAAATATATTTTAATTTAATTTAATTTTTATTTTATTTTTTTTATTGTTTCTTATTAACTAAATAGTTTTACTAAATAGATTAAAAAACTAAATAGCATGTGTCCTAGTTATGTACAAATGTAAATGTTTAAAGTTGTTACTCTAATTATTATTTATTTAACTAATTGGCCAGAATTAAAACTATGGTCGGTATTCACAGTCAGATCTTATATTTAAGACCGTCTTAAGTTCATCTTCAGATACTGTACAGATCATTTTATTGTCTACGGAGTATCTGAAGATAAACTTAAAACGGTCTTAAATATATGATCCGTCTATGAATATCTATGATTCAACAAAATGCAGCATTGGGTCAATCAAAAAGTTCGATTTAATTTTCAATAGATAACATCATATACATATAACGCAGGTGACATGTTTATAATAATTATGTATTATATGTTGACAAAAAATCATAGAAAATGATGACGATTCCTATGTTGGCAAAAAATATGTGTTTTCAAAACTATTTGAACATTATTTGAAAAGTTAAACTCAAACATTAGCTAAGAAAATATATTTAACACTCAACTGTACAGTTCATTAAAATTATAAAATATTTATTTTAGTAAAAAATCAGGAAGAAATCAGGAAAAAATTTATTTTTAATTGACAACGTCTATCAGAGAGAAAAGCATTCTTATATTATTTTTCAGATAAAAACATCACTTTGTGCAAGAAATTCTACATTGCTGTGAAGATGGGAAAACAGGGAAAGATATATGGGCGTCCAAGAGACGAACCATTGCCGAACATATCTATGGGACAACTGCTATTGGATAAAATGCGCGAGCACGGTGATCGCGTTTTTCTAGTATGTGTCATAATTACGAATGCGTGCCTATGATATCAATCACAAACCGATCGTAATTTGCAGTGAAACAGTAAAACATCTCAAATAACAAAAGCTTTTTATAGCTTTAATCGTCAGATGGGAGGTGAAATTCCTCGCCTGAATTCTATCTCTGAATTTTCGTTGTCGCATTATACATCGCCCATAATGAGTAGTCCTATATCTGTCTACATTTCATTTTTATGTTAATTCGTTTTTAAACCGCAAGCATTGCAGAAAGAAACTTAAATAATATTCCATGTTTCAAATAATAATCCGTAATCTGTATAAAGACGATTTTAGCGATTGTATTATATGACGATTATTCAACATATCAATGACAAATGTCTCAAAAGAAATGCATTGCACGAACAAAATATTTTGTGCAAGTTCCAGAGAGAGAGAGAGAGAGAGAGAGAGAGTACATATATGTACTTTTTTTCTTTATAATATCATTTCTATAATATAGTTTAAGACAATATTTGATATATCTTGATACGCGTTAAAATTGCATGAATGCTTTTATTCTTTGCTTTCTAACAGAAAAATGCAGACAACGGCAGTCGACTAACGTACAGTGAGTTACTTGAGAAAAGTGTGAAACTGGCAAAGTATTTACAAACGCACGGGATCAAGAGTAAAGACAGAATTTGCATCGTAAGTGAAAACCAATTTAATTGGTTAGTACCGGCTTACGCGTCGCTTTACATTGGCGCTATATGTGTACCGTACAATTCTGCGTACACGGAATGTAAGTGAAAATATTAATATCTATTTGATATGAATATCTGCGTATTACATAATATTATACACAACTAGTGCTTATAATATTTTATACAACTAGTGCTTATACTTTTTTACGAATATCATTCTAAGAATAAAATTAGTTTAAACTAAATCTTACAAGCATCAGAAGTATAAATGTTAAGTGTAATTAGTAATATCAATTCGAGGTGCGTGTATTTGATGTATATCATCCAAATCTAATTTTATAATATTTTTATTGAAATAAAGATAAAAATATTGATTAGTTCTGATTATTTGTAAAGATTGAATGCGATTATTGTCTTCCAGGGGAATTTAAAAATGTGTTAAACATCTCGAAGCCGCGAATAATCTTTGTGTCTAAGCGTACTGAAAAGCTTTTCACAAAACTCCAGTCGAGCTTTTCGTGGCAAATGGAAATAATCGAGCTGGATGATGAGTCTCTCACGCCCTCCGTACGTACATTGACGAATATTTTGAATAATGAAAAAGTGGATTTTCTGAAATACAATGCGGTGGATATCGGTGACAACAGTAAACATCCAGCAGTTATTCTCAATTCGAGTGGTACAACAGGACCACCAAAAGGGGTAACATTGTCTCATAGGAATCTAATAGCTTTTGTTATCGAATCAAGGTAAATATTTGGGTGTATCTTTTAGATATTTAGTATCTTGAAAATACTTAGTATTCTTTAGTACATATATTTTCAAATGACGGATAAATTAACACTATTTTAACAATATTTCAATGAAGAAAACGTGGTAAACTTTTCGTTCAATAAAAAACTAAGTAATTTAGTTGTACCATAATTTTTACACTGTGTTATCTTTAAATCATTGTCACATATGTCAAGAATGTATTAGTTACTATACATAAAATATCCTATTTTAATTTTACACCTCAAATATTTAAAAAACAGAGCACTATAGAAAAAGATGTATTACACAACAATTGTATGATGTCAAGAGGAAAAAGTGCTAATATTCACTCCTCTTAAAAAATAACTTTGAAAAGTCCTGTTAACTTTAATATTTTAAATAAAATCATATGGTTAGTCAAATCTATTTCTCCGATAATTTTGCAGTATTTTGCAGTATTTTGCAAAAATACGGAGGTAAAATTGAAAAAAATGACTCAAGTTTCTGTCTATGATGTAATGCATATAAAAAAGACTTTAAGTCAAGTTTCTTAAATTAAGCAAGTCAATCTCTATAATTTTTATTTTTAGAAAGCAATTTGCAACTTGCTCCAAGAGAGCAGAGATCATTTCGTCATTTGAAAATATTGTCGAAAATACTTGGCTCTGTGGACTTGTGTACTTACAGTGAATCTGATTGACAATATAGCAAGGGGGACTTCTTCGATATAACGAAGACTACCAAATCTTTATTGTTTCTGCCGTTCTACCATGGTTACGCGTTCGGCTTGCTGTTGCTCTTCTTGATTAACGGTGGTAACATCATCCTAATGTCTAACTTCGAGTTTGAGCGATTTCTGAAGTTGATAGACGAATACAAGCCTACCCATTTGCCGCTCGTGCCGCCGATCATGATTCTCCTGGTGAAGCACCCGCTGGTGGAGAGGTACGACTTTCGCAGCGTGAGAGAAATCATCTGCGGAGCAGCACCGCTTGCGAAGGAAGTAAGTTTCCTCCGGTCGCGAAGTTCGTCGTCCCCCCGCTGTCGTTCCCCATCCTTAACCCCTTTGCCGCCTCGCCAAGTTATCACGGCAAGAAAAGCCATTGGGAGCTAAGTGCCGAAGTGAGTCCTCGATGCCGCCGCGGTGAGAGGATCGAGCGAGGTACCGCGAGGAAATCTGGGAAGTCGTCGCGTTTTCACGAGACACGCCGCTGGAGTAACTTTACCGTCCGCCGCGTTCGTTTTTGTTTAACCTGTTTGGAGCCGCTAAGAGAAGGGGTGGAAAATAAAAGGCCGCACTCTCGCGGCTCTTCGCAATTGCGTCTTTCGGAAAATGCGAAATGTGATCTCTCAAGCGTTTATCGGTAAACGAGGAAATAAGGGGGCCCCTTTTAAAGTTTCGAAAGCTGAGAAGCACGCTCAGAACCCGACTGTGTCCTCCCACTGCCAAGCCACTCTGTAGTCAGCGATTGTTGCCTTCATCCCTCGCACGTGTTTGCGAGATAATTGCGCCGAGATTAAATAAACGCTGTCAACGAACAGAGAGCATGCCTCAAAACAATATGACGTTAAGTTGAATAATATTATAGCGGTTGAGAGGCGAGACAGGCGCGCGTAGCGAATTCGTGGGGATAATTTGGAGGAACTGAGCAACTGAAAGTTCAAACTCTTTATAAGGAAGTCCGTTATCTGTATTACAATTCGTTCTTGCAACGAAGTCATACTACACACAGAGAATTTTTCTCGAAGATATAAACATTCATTTTCCGAAGAAGTACCATAGTAATTTTCCTTACTAAGGTGTACTTGTAGCGTAGAAAAAATTTTAAGAAAGTATGAAAAATTTATACTACAGAGAATAAACAAAAATAATTTTGTCCAAGAAGTGTGGAATTTTTAGCAAACAAATAGCAAATAGATAGTAAAATAAATAGGAAATTTTATCCAGTGTTGAGCACTAATCGATTAAAATTTCCCTTAATTGGTAAATCAATAATAAAAATTAATTAACATTTGAGATAAAATCTCAAATAATTTCATTGATTGATGAAATTAATGATTAATCAGTGTATAATTAATCACACCCAAGTGTATAACCAATCACATTAATTAATAATTAGTTTTATTGGTCGACATTAAACGATATTATATGACTTTATATATAACGATTAATTAATTAATTAATTTATTAATTTGCCGATTATTTGAGTCAAATAAAATTCTAATCAATAAGTTATTCTTAACATTGAATTTAATCGAATTAAGTTACTCAACATTAACCAGTCAGCCTGAAATAACATCAAGATAACTCTTTTGGATTTTCGGCTTTCGCAGATTGTTAACGCGGTAAAATCCCGCCTTGGAGTGAAAAACGTACGTAATGCCTACGGCATGACGGAGATAACGATAGTGAGCCACATAAGCGATCGCCAAGAGGACGATATCATTAATTTGGGTTGTCTTTTACCTGGATTATACAATAAAATAGTAGATATCGAGACACAAGAGACTTTGGGTGTGGATCAGATCGGCGAGATCTGCTTCAAGGGTGAGCAAGTGATGCTGGGATATTGGAACAATCCCGAAGCCACCAAGCAGACCATCGACAAGGACGGATGGCTACACTCGGGCGACCTTGGCTATTACGATCAACGCGGTGCGTTACGCGTCGTCGACAGGTTGAAGGAACTGATCAAATACAAAGGCTTCCAGGTCTCGCCGTCGGAGGTAGAGACGGTCCTACTGTCGCATCCCGCGGTGAAGGAGGCTGCAGTCTGTGGCATACCCGATCTGCGCAGCGGGGAGCTGCCTATGGCTGTGATAGTGAAACAGCCTGGCGCTACGGTCACCGCCAAGGACATTATGGAATTTGTCAAACGTGAGTGATATCTCGCAGCTTTATTAACTATTTGAATAAGATGGAGACTTTGCGACGGTAGTTGGCAGAAATTCCATAAAAGATAGTGAGTTTAATAATGATTTCCTCGGAGAATAAATAAGACTACGTAACCATCTTTATTACAGAAATTATTTTCATTTGTAAAATAATGATTGTATAATGACGTCAAATAATGATCGTATAATGAGACAAGAAGAGAGCGCCGTAACGCTTTTCTTGACATTTTTGTGTGTAAAATGAAGAAATGCAATCGCATTTCTTAGTATTTCAATTAATGGTATTTCAGTTATTATATATAAATTAATTCTCAATCGATTACATTTATTGATATCGCACATGAAAGCGATGGTAAATGAATCTTTTGTAGCGATGTGTCAAGGATTAGATGCGTATTATCACATTTGGATCTAAATGCGCGAGTGGAACATGAGGTGGCATGATGATGCCAGCAGCAAATGCGGGGTAACGTAGCGATAACATTAAACTTGTGTTCTATTAACAGGATTATTATTTATTAGCAACGTCACTGCAAACCGTGTCACATTATTTTTTAATAAAATTGTTGTTTCCATTATGTCTTTAATTTGAATATACGACGCGGAGAAAAAGAGCGGAAATTTTCTGCGTTTTCTGTCTTAATATTGCATTTTAATAGCGGGCACGAGGCGAGCCACCGTATTAACCGAGCGATTCAATCTATCTTCCAGAAAAATTGTCGCCGCAAAAATGGCTGCGCGGCGGGGTGCAATTTGTCGACGCTATACCTAAGAATCCCACTGGCAAAATTCTACGTCGTGAAGTTCGATCGATGATTGAAGCGATGGTTTCTAAGCTATGATCATGGACTCATGGTTATTAAGAAAAATCTCCTTCGTTATAAGTTATAAGTTAATAGATAATAAGTGAGAATAACACATGAGGGTCATTCAATAAGTAAGGTTGTGATATAAAAAATAAATAAATCAAAATCAAAAATAAAAATAAAGAAGGGTTGATAGGAGTTCAAGTACAGTAATTTTAGTGCTATGAAAACCTTATAAGTTAATAGATAATAAGTGAGGATAACACATGAGGGTCATTCAATAAGTAAGATTGTGATGTAAAAAATAAATAAATCAAAATCAAAAATAAAAATAAAGAAGGGTTGATAGGAGTTCAAGTACAGTAATTTTAGTGCTATGAAAACCTTATAAGTTATAAGTTAATAGATAATAAGTGAGGATAACACATGAGGGTCATTCAATAAGTAAGGTTGTGATGTAAAAAATAAATAAATCAAAATCAAAAATAAAAATAAAGAAGGGCTGATAGGAGTTCAAGTACAGTAATTTTAATGCTATGAAAACCTAAGGAAATAGGTGAAAATTCTTTCTCTTGCATGTTCAGCGTTGTATATCTCGACATGTATGTATATAAATAGTTTGTTGTACTAATGCCGAGACTTGAAGGATTACTGTTGACAATATCGTTTTGGCCTTAAGGTTTCTGGCCCCTACACTATGTCCAAGATAACTTGTTAACGGTTATTCGGCTTTATCTTTTAGTTTAAATTTTACGCAAATTTTATATACGTTTGGTTAGACAATACGACCGCTGCACCCTACTACATGCTTCTGTGAGTAACTTCATTATTAAGGCCGTTGCGGAATGTCAGGCAAGAGGTAATAGGAACAGGAAATAGAAATTCGGATTGGTCAGTTATTATTATTTCTATTCCTTATTCCTATTGGCTAATACCTATTATTATTGCCTGTTGCCTGGCAATAATACTCGTATGTAGATCGTGACGGACGTTGAAGACATGTTTTGACATAAATAGGATTTAATACTGTTTTCTAAATTTTTTGTCCTTCACTCATATGTACTCATACTTGATCGAAAAAAATCACCGGTTGGAAAACTACTCTTTTAAATCGTTTGTATTTCGTATGAAAAGTTTTGAAGTGCAATTGAAAAGATTTGTAAGTCGTTCTATTAATTGTAATTAATTGTCCATTTTTGGACCATGCCGAAATAATGGCCGGAGATAAATTAAACAAAGTTCCGGTATAGTATCATTTGTATTTCGTATGAAGAGTTATGGAGTATCATTAAAAAGGTTTGTGAGTCATCCAGATAATTTTAATTAAATATTAAAAAATCGTGTAATTGGCCGAAATATAGATTTCAAGCGCTTCTGTGGAAGTCAGGCACGATCGGTAATCTCTAGTATTTCAATACTCCTGATTCTTTTTCAATCGTATCAACCTGGTAATGCCCGGTAAATATTTTTATCATTACATTGTCGAAACGTCACACTAATATTTCGGCGACAGCAAATATTATTCTATTTTTACGTACGTTTCAGAGGAATGATTCATTTGTGAGGTTTTGCAACATAACAAGAATGTGTCATAATGTAAAATTGATTGTTATGTTACTTGTACGTTGAAATAACGTTACAAACAAAACGTTCTCCTGCATCGTCCTATAGATGGAACATTAACTGTTGATCTCGTGATCTCAACAAATTACTTCGTTTTCCAACATAGGGAACTTTCACCTATTTCCTTAGGTTCCTTAGCACTAAAATTACTGTACCTGAACTGTTATTAGCCTTTCTTTATTTTTTATTTTTTATTTATATCTTTAGAGTTCTTTTGTTTTTAATAAATAAATAAAAAAATAGATATATACGTTACTTTAAAAATCATAATTTTTAACACACCTATTGTCACTAAGTATCAGTTGTTTGACCAATATTTTTGTTAACTAACTTCCGTAACTCATTTCGTCATAGCAAGTCCTCTCGAAAGTACACTTTAGAGGGACAGCGTTCGATAATAAGATTTTTGTGTTCAAAGGATGTAAAACCATACTTTCCATCATGAATGAATAAAGTTAAGCGACGTGTGTGTTATTAGCTAGAATAAAGTTTCTTATAAGTATACGCTATGCTGTTTTGAATAATAAAAATATTTTTACTCATGATTGAAATCGGGCATATGGACGCATGAAGTAAAGTTGGCCCATAATTAAGAGCCAGCAGGAGGGCTGTAAAGACCTTTCACGGAGATCCGAAACTACTAACCAGGATATGTATTTTATGTGGCCTTCTTTACCTTACTATTGAACTCGGTTGGTCAGGACAAGATGGCCACGTTATTGTATGTTTATATTTTGGTTATTACAAAACATAGAATTAACTTCATCGTGATGGACATTAACGCATAGTTGCCTCTATCAAGTTTGCACAGTCAGTAAACAATTAGTTGTCTGAGAAGTTTTAACTTCGAAATTCTGAAATATGGAATGTCTAGTCCCGGTCTCTCCTATATTGAGACAGCACGGGTGAGTGATTCGTGTCATTACGTGATATCACTCTCGCGCCAACTTATATTAATCTCACATCCCTTGGGACTACGAAAATAAGCGAAGAAACCTGTTGCGTTACATACGTCAGCAAGCAGCGAGCAACATGCATTCTCGCATCTTCATCGATATCTACTTTTGTCCCATTTCGTCCCTTGCGACGATACAGTTCAAACTTCTTGTCGATTCCCCAGGTATCTGTCCTCGGAGCGTAATGATTTAGAAAAGATCTGTAACAAGAATTAATTGCAGATAAGATGACAGCGTGCTCGTAATGAGCACCACGCGATATGACAAATTCCCCTCCAAACTTGCTTTATGACGACGGATTTAATTAATGACTCATCAGTCTTCCATTTTTCTGTCCTAAGTTCTATTTCAGAGTGAAGCAATTTGCAATTTAATATACAATAATGCGGTGCAAAAGTATTTATTGTTTAATTCTATTCTCGGCTTAAAACAATGCACTTTAAGTTAGACACGGAGTGTGAAAAGAAATCGACTAATATAGATGTGAATGATGTTTCGATCCCTCATGTTTGACTGATGTAGGTTAGTTGATGTAGATAATTAGTCGTAATGACTGCGTCACCTCGACGAAATAGTTAACTGTTACCGAAAAAGTGCGGTACAAATTGACGGCGGTTTCAGCGAATCAACGGGATTATCGGTGTTCGTATTGGAGAAATTTAAATTTCACGTCGCAGGCCCTCGAATATGGTCAGATATAGCGTAGTCGCGCTGGTACGCAAAGGTACACGTGTGCAGCTATCTGTGCACGCGCACACGTGTACAACCATTGACAGTTATGTGTACGTGCTCATGCCTCGCGTTCCTGTCGATTTAATTACGACGATTGGCCTGACAAATCTAATTGACGTGCATCAATTATTTTGGGCCGCGTTCGAAGGCCGTTTAATTCCCTATCCTCTTTTCGACGAGAACACGGTTTCGCCGTAATTCCATTTTTCAGGGACTCTTCGTGAAATTTCGTTTGGCGTTTTGTGTCCTCGAGTCGTCAGCAGGTTTCTATTTCGACATCCGATCGATAGACGAATAGACGCCATCTGTGTGAAAGCGTGTCTGCGAGAAAAATAATATTTCTCACAAATTTCATGTTGTATGCGCGATATATAATCATTAATAATTTGGAAAATTGTAAAAATTATATAACAGATATAAATTATAAATTATATAATCGGTAAATTATTAAAATTTATACAGATGAATGGTTAAAAGCTATTGCAATTATATACGTACAATTTTACGTACGTACGTAATATTTAACTTACCGAACATGTGCTGTGCAATTTTTTAGACATAAATATCGAGTGAAAAGCACACAATGGAAGATTACAGTTGTGCTCTTTTCCTTGCGACTCGTTATATGGGTTACTTGTATTTACGTATCATTACACGCCGGAACGAATAATCCATAATTGCGTGTTTGCCACGTCCGATCATGTGCCTAATTATATGAAACGGGCTTGTACACGCTGTACGATACTAATGCAGCAAATTATCTGCGCGCGTGCCGTTATTGGGATCACCGTGACATACGCGGGTCCGATTACTCAAATCCGCATATTTAGGCGAAGAGGGGTTCGACGGGGATCGAGGGCGACGATAAATTATCGAGGATGGAACGAATTTTCAAACGCGCTGTTCGATTACCCATAGCCGGATTACCGCCTCGTTTAAGCCGCATATTTTTGCCACGTGTAATTGCTAATTTTGCAGAATAAAGCATTGAATCATTGAAGCGTTGAATTAAAGCAGTTTCGGTTGAAAATACCTCAGGGTTCGAATATAAACCCACTAACTCGTCTTCTTTAAAGGGTAAATCAGCTTCTGATTTACAAGAGGACTTTGACTTACTAATCTTGATAAAAAATTTTTATCAATAATCTTTATCCATAGAAGTTTTCTTGCAAAGCCATTTGATGTATTTCTCGGAATTTGCAGAGAAATAATTTATAAAATTTAACGCAAACGTTCGTGCAATGCAAACACATTGTTGAAGTTTTGCAAAATTTAAATAAATGATAAAATGTAATATTATTTTTGATAAATAACTTTTTCTTATAAATATTCATTTACAATTGTTCATTATTAATTATATTATTAATAAAACTACTTTTGCTTTCTTTTTATAATAAAAAATTTTTACATTTTACAGAGAAATAATAGGAATAAATTATAAGACAGTAACTGTATTTACAAAATATATTTAATATTTTTATATATATATATAAAAAAACAGTAAGATATGGGATTTGAACTCAAGTTTTCAGCGTGAGAGTCTTCCCGCTGTGTCGCTACAAATCACTGGAAGCAGGTTAGTATAAGTATTTGCGCGTATGTTTGCGTTAAATTTTATGATTTTTTTTCTCTGCAAATTTCGAGAAGTACATTGAATTGCAAGGAAACCTCATTGGAGATGAAGACTACTTATAAACACTTTTTATTAAAATCAGTAAGTCAGAGTACATAATGTTTTCTTTGTTAGATAGCTGAAAAAATAGGAGGTTTCACAATTTCTTTTCAAAGAAATAAATAAAGATATAATGTAAAGTTTGGACCATATCGTTTATTATTGTTTTAAATACGAAGAAATTACTTTTTTATTAAAAAATGTTGAGATTTCGTCGTCCTGGTATTTTGTGCTGACAATGAGTGCTGTCGTTATGAGATGCCTCTAACTGGTGGACATATCTGTTCGTATGATAATGTGAAGCAAATGGGGTCTGAAAATTTTAAAACTTTATTAAATAAAATTAATAAATATTTTTTATTTTTCGA